GCACAGCTTTAATAAACTCACATCGTGCAGCTCTACTGAACTGCTATATTCTGGATAAGCAGAAGATTCAGGAGGTCTTCAGAGAAATGCTTTGCTGCTATTCAGCCTCAGCTAGTTTATCACATTGTTTTGCATTTTGGTAAGTAGTTTTCCAGCAAATTTAGGGAATTGATCTTCAGTCTTTAGAGAATTAATGTATTATGTACTTACACTTTATTGTGTGCACCCTGTAGATTTATTTATATTTCTAAATGACTTCTTTTGAGAATGGTGCACCAAAACAGTGTTAGCCAGTACTAAAAAGTGAATATTAAATATTCCTTCATGAGACCTGCTATCCTTATTATTTGAAAAAGTGAGAACTCTGGTAACACACAGAAGCCTTTGTTTAGCTGCCAGGTACTGCAAACAGCTGTCACCAAGCTAAATCCTAGACACTGTGCTGCTGATGCCCTGCCAGATCCAATGCCAGATCAAACACATCCTGCCTATTCTATCCACTGTGCTGATGTAGGATGCAAGTGCTCAGTATGTCCAGCCAGACTAACTATTGCTATTTTAAGCTATCTAGTTTGCTGTAAAGTAGTGTTCTTTGCCACTGTTGGCTCAGAAGCTTTGGTTACCAGCCTGGTACCAAGGCCTGGGCTCTCAGGCCATTGCTTGCTCAATGCTTTTGTTGTGCTGGGCCAGCATCAAGGCTTGTGAGGGCCACCGGAAGGCCTGCAGGGCTCCAGCCAAAGCCTGCGCCTCAGGAAAGGGCTGACTCACAGCATCTCATTTTCCAGTCCTACACTGAGGCCTTTCTCCTGTGAGGCTTCATCTGATTTATGACTGATGATCTAGAAGAGGCTAGAATCTTGGCAGCAGCTGACCACAACTTCTAGGCAGCTTGGCAGGATTATAACAGTGCTGAGGCAACCCAGCGGTGGCAGCCAGTGCAGAGATGACGGCAAGGCAGCATAGAGAAGGAGAGCAAAACAGGCTTTGGGCAGCCAAAAAGGAGACTGGCTTATAATTGACATTATATTTAAGGCACCATGGGAGGAGGTACGAAGGGCTCCTGACAGCCCAGAGGTGGTGCTGAGGGAACACGGAGGTCCCTTAGCCTAGAGATGGTGCTGAGGCAACGTGAGACAAAATTCAGAGAAAATACTCAAAAACGAAGAAAGCTCCACAAGAAGTAGGCTTCAGTCAGATCTAGAGCAGCACAGAGGAGCTCTGTGGCTCAGGCACCTTCAGCTTTATCTTCCTGTCCTGCAATGAGACAAGCTGAGCTCTTCAAGTGCCTTGATCTCCAGAGACTGCTGCAGGACCTGCCCTGGTTTTGCCTGTGCTAAACATGTGACAAATGGTAAGTTGGGGAGTTTGAATGGGTAGAAGGGAGGTGGTTAGCTCTCCAATGCAGTCAGAGGGGAAGTGGAGCTCCTTCTAAGCTGTGATTGAGGTCTTGCCTCACAGAGATTGTTTATTTGCTATTTGTTTGTTTTCCCAAATTGTTCTATTCCCTTCTGTACCCTTCCAGTTGTCTTTGCGATTACAGACTTAATTCAGTACTGCATATGGGCAGCTACAGTGAGATGTTGATACCTCCTGCAGCTAATAATGCAGCCCTATGTGGACCTCTGTGTTGTGTGATTATTGTGACCAGGCTCTGAGGAGGCTGGAGAAGATTCTGCTGTGATCTGGGAGCAGTGTTGGTAGTGCTAGAGCACATTTGTATCTGAAATGATAAGCTTACTTGAGAGAGAGTCTAAAACCTGTTGCCTAGAATTTCAGGATTTGGCAATTCTGAGTTAACATTTCTGTGTTGTCAGGATATTTTCAGTACAAAGGTATCTGAACATAGAGAAATTGAATATCTCCAGGTTCCCATGAGACTATTGGCTTTTTTTTAAGAAATAGTGGAAATGGAGATCTTTTTGGCTTTTTGTGATCACTGTTGCAGTACTGTTAAGTGGTAAGTTGTATCTGCTGCTCTTCTATGTTGGGGCATAACATAGAGGATATTGCTCCATATACACAGACAAGGTGAGAAGCTATGTAAAAATAGCAACTATTTTCTCTCCTGAACATCTTTCACCAGCTAATCAAAGTATCTATTAAGAATGAAGTGCTGCTGGGAAGCCTTAAAATTGTCTATGGCGTCAGCTAGTGATTGTAATGTTAAGGGGGGCTGTTATTACACAGCTAATGAACCTGAATATGATGACATACTTTAGCCATGTGTTTATGTTAAACAAATATGCTTTATTTTTAACTGTACATCTGCTGGGCATTGCACAAGCCCCAACATGCTCTGCAATAGCAGCAAGCTACTGGTTATCATTCACAGTCTGGTGATGAGAAAGTGTTTCTCAACGTCTAATGGGGTCTGGCTTCATGCAGGTAGCAAGGTGCTTTGCGCTCTCTTTGCAACTTGTATATTTTCTAGTGCTTTTTGTCCACCTGACTGACTGCATTCCAAAGCAGCTGAAAAATTAGGGAACATGACAAATCGTTTAAAATGAAATGTTCAAAACTTAGGCATCTAAATGTACAATGTCAAACCAAATATCAATTTGACACACACTTCAGCTGTGCTGTAGGTAGCATCTGTAGTCACTACCAGGTTCTCATTTTTTCTTGACCCTATTCATCACACTATGGAAAGATTCATGTTTCGATTTTCTGCTGTACCGTTCAAAATGTTAAGCCTATGGGAATGTGATTGTTAGAGCTGGCTGGAGGTGGAACTGATTTTTTTGGATTGAAATACAAGAGAGACTTGTAGTACAGTTTTGGGAAAGAGTCTGTAGAGCTTCTGTGAAGTTCTGATAGAATAGCTGGGATCTGAATTGAGCTAAAAATGGCTATTTATGTTCCCCCCCCCCCTCCCCCCCTTTTTTTCCCTCCAAGAAAATAATTGATTTTTGAGAAACTATATCTGTGAACATGTGAGGACTTGTCTTTTTCCTTCTCCACTTTTTAATTTGATAATTGACAAAGTCCTGCACTCTATGAAAGTTAGAATTACAGCTAAGACCTAGGATTTAGATGACTTGAGGGCACACAGCTACGATTACCTTGACACATGGGTGAAAAAGAATTCTAATGTGATCACACCAAATGTTTGCTTGGTAGTTTGTTTTACTTGAAGAAGAGAAGTTGTGCAAAATATTATAAATTTAGGAGATATCAATACAAAAGGGTGAGAAAACATTTTCAGAAGGAGGAAGACATAACAACAACTGTAAGATGACAGAAGCCAGTGGGGAGTAGTAAAATGAGAGGATGTCACATGAAACTTAAGAGGTTAATGACATGCAGCTATGAATGGATAGAATTCTCATGGATCCAGATCTCAGATCTGATCCAATTGCAGTCCCCTTCTAATGGAAAAGGCTGTAAATCAGTCACAGGATTCTGGTGAATCATGCTATGTGCTCATGGTTTGTGATGCAGCCAACAGTTCTTGATGGAATTACAACCTCTATGCTCACACTCACCTGCTATTTGCTCTGTACTAAGTTAACAATAGTAAATAAACTGCATATTAGATTTCAAGCGGAGCTGTTCATAGCAAATGAATTCGTCTTGCCCACAGGCTGCCCTGATTTAAAACATATGTATCCATTTAAATCATGTTGCTTCCATATATTAAGCTTCTTTTCATATTTTTGTCCCATTAACATTCAATATTTTGAATATGTACATAGTTCGCTGTGGGTTTGAATCAAAAGTGGTAGATTATTTTTGGTGGAAGGTGGAATAGTAGAAAGAAGTGGACTATGATGGCATTGTATGGCACATGCTATTCACACCTGAAACCAATGCGAAGCACTGTCTTTTCTTGTACAGGCAAAACCTTCATTAGAATCAAAGAAAGTTTTCCGTAGTTGCAGGAAACATGGGGTTGTTGTTTAGTGAAAATATAAGGACAGGATAACCATTGTATGGGAGTGTATTTCTCATAAAGTAATATAAGTGTCCCAGAACATTAAAAAAGGAATTATCAATTGTTCCCAGACTTCTAAGGCTGAAAGAATTTTGTATGTAAAACAGTGTTTATGCTATGAAAAAAAAAGAAAGTAAACAGTGCCTGGTGTCAAACTCCATAGAACTTAGGACTCTAAGAATCAGCTTGTTTATTTCTTTCCATGAGTGCTGAGCACTACCAACCCCCACAGTTGTTAGGGTACAGATCCTAAGACTGGATGTTGTTTGTCTGCATGTTCTTGCAAAGAAATACTAAGAATATGCAGTAGGTCAAAGTGGCTCCTTATCTTTGTGAGGAGATAAGGCCTGCTGTTCCTCCTAGGAAACAGTGTCTTGGAAGCGGAAGGCTGTACTTCTTATCATTCGAGTGTGTGCCATAAAAGGGTAAAAATAGGGACACTGAGGATAAGAAAGCTGAAACCAAGGCACCTGCTACCCACAGAAGGAAACTTGGGAATCAAATAAGATGGAGTGTGTCATCTGCTTGAGAAATTAAAAAGACTTCACTTTCAGGAGTAAATACTTTGCATTAAAATGATTTTAAAAGTCTCTGAGATTACTGATGTGAGAAAAAATTTACAGGATTTAGACTCCCTGCTTTGTCATGCAAACTATATGCAGTTCAGTGAGTTTACAGAAGAATGTAAGAACTGACAGAGAGAGTTAGATTTCTATGCCTATTAGAAGTTTAGAAGACATCCTCAATCCCAAAGGCTGCATGTGATCTGAACAGAACTGGTTTAACAGAAAAATTCAAATAAGTTTTTGGTTTTTGTCTTTCTGGCCAAATAATGCATAGTTTTTTCAATCTCACAAAATTTTAATTAATGATATATAATGCAGGTTATTTACAATGATTGCCATTCTTTAAATGCCAACTTTTCTTTAAAAGCAGCAACAACAAACAACCAGCTCCATGCCATGCTCCAAACCTTGTTTGCAAGGATTTTCATTTGCATCATTAACGTACAGTTTCACAGACAGCAGAAAAGAGTGTATTCTTCTTCTTAGATATTCTGCATATACTACCTGCAGCCACATTCTGCCACTTTCATCCCTTCATAGTTATATATCAAAGTGGGCACACCAGCATCATCCTTATAGAGAATAGAGATTGAATCCAATTTAGTTGGAACACAACAAGCCTTGGAAGCTTTCTTCGGGTTTTGGAGATGCACCAGAGTCTGGACAATAGCATGTTTTGTTGGCGTAACATTATCTGTCAGAGGGAAAAAGCAACCTCCTTTACACTCAAAAGCCTCATAATCTTTGGGTGCAATGATCCAAGAATCCCAACCAATCTCTTTAAAGTTCACATGGAGCGAAGTTCTCCGACAGTGGTTTGCTCCAATGCTTCTCTTACTTCTGGACGAATGCTGATGGGGCCTAGTGATGGCTTTTTCCTCTCTCTGTTCTTCTTCAGATGAAGAGTTGTTCTTTCCTAATTTGTCTAGCACATTTTCTTGTTCATGAATAATCATCTCCCGGAGCTCTACTTTGGTCTCTTTTGTCCCATTGCTGCGATCATTGGAGAATACTACTAACAGGGGCAGATTTTTAGTGTCACGAGTAACACTAATATCCAGCTTCCCACAAGGGAAACCACCCAGAGCCTTACTCTCTATAACAACCTCTAGCTTGTTTTTAGTCTTCATCTTGTCTGCCTTGACCCATCTTTTCACAGCTCTGGACACTTCAAACATCTCCCAGCCACACTCCTGAATACTGTGGGAGACAAGCAAAGATTTGCTATTTTCTTTGTTTTCCCAATGGTCTCCATCTAGAACATCATAAATGAGCATGTTGCCTTCCAGTCTGAAGGGAGACCCAACTTCCTTGTGACAGGAGACAAAGATTCTCAGTTCAGCTCTGGTGATTTCCTCATACCGTGGAATAGAGATGTTGAACAGCAAGATGTGTTTCTGAAATGAGTTTTCTTCTGGTGAAGTTAAAGAAACAACACCTGCAGTAGGAAATAAAAACCTGTGGTTACAGTGCTCCCGACAGTTCAGATAACTTGCTTTCAAAAGATTCAGGATGTGTTTTGGGAATAAAATAAGACCATGGCTACCAAGCATCAAAAAAATAAATAAAATAATAACACCATCTTCTGGCCAGGTTTCAAGGAGCAGGGAGTGAAAAGTTAAAATGCAGTTCGTTGATGTTGGTAGTATTTTCACCAAGACTGCATGCAGGTGAATGTCTGAAGGAGTGGAGGGGTAGCAGGAAAAGTCTTCCTAAAACAAGGTGCAGATGGTGCTGTAGCAGGTACTCATCTAGGAAGTGTTAAATTTAGCAATTTCCTGAAGGGAATTTTACAGAAAGAATTCCTAAAAAAAAAAAGCTATTAGAATTTACCACTCACCATAGTGCTGTGGGATGCACTGCTCTCCTAATATAGAGAAGCATAGTGCATATTTGTCTCTTTTTAAGAATTAACTGTACTGAGGTTTTTGGTGTCTTCAGATATCTTTGAAAGCAGTTTGCGTTACTGAGGGCTAGAGGAGACAGAAAACCTTGGAAAAATCTGTATCAGAGCTCGAGAGTCTGTTTAAACTGGGACTTGGTGATAAACATCCTTCATGTTTATGTATATTCCAGGCTTTTGTGAGTATTTGTGGTGTTTTATTATTATTATTTTTTTCTGCAAACATATGTGAAGAACCAGCAACTCTGGCTTGGGAAGGGCAGGTATTTTTCTGAAAGACCAGATAGATAGTATTTTAAAGTCATCAGTAAATGATATCTTTTTGATAGTCAGTGTTAGATAGTTGTGTTATAGGGCAATTTTAATTAGCAACTGTTGACCCTTCTTCCCTCTAAAGCAGTCTGAGTGGAGAGTGGGATGTGAGAATTATAATCTAGCTCATACTGTTGAAGTTTCTTTCCATTTCAGATCTAGATCACTTATTTGGGAATCTGGAGATCCTTGTAGTGGTGTTACCTCTATACAACTATTTTTTTCTAAAAACAGATTCGCCCTGTCTCATTTTTATTCTAAAGGTTGCACTTATAACATTTTTTTACTGTTTCTTGACATGGAGCTTTCAAAAATCTATTGTTACACAGGCAGATCTGGATTTTTTGAGACAATTACATTTTCTATGTAAATCTTCCCCTCTAAACCAGAATTTGGGGTGAGCCCTGCTGGATCCTTATTTGGATCGAGGCACAGATTTCTCAGTTGGCTACTGCATTTTTTATGACAGAAGCCTCTCAGAAAGAAGAGCTCTCTGGCATGAATGTCTCAGTTATAGATGATCAAATATTTGTTTTCTAACATAAAAAATCAGTCACAAATCTCTAGCTTTGAGAAACATGATTAGTGTAAACCCTGTATTGAATATATTGTCTCAATTTATGCATTTGAGAAGATAAAATTGTACAATAAAAATATCAGAAAAAAAAAATTAATTGTATTTTTTAAAGATTGAAAGGAGCAAAGCCACAGTCCAAAATTTTAATCTATTTACTTTCTAAATAGTCTGTGGAAGTTAGGCAATCAGTTTCTTCAGAATTTCATCTGAGTAACTGCTGTTCACATACATCTTTAAAAGTTCTTGTCCACACACTGAGGACTTCTCCTACCTTCAGTGCTGAAGCTCCTTACGATGTTGGATGCAGGGATGGAGGACTTGTCTGCTGTGTATCTGTTGTATAAATCAATCATAAACTGTGGTGGTTCTTCTTTGGTCTTCACTTGTGAGGGAACCCTTGATAAATTCAAACTTCTTAGTAAATCTGTCTTCATATTCTCCAGAAAAGATTTAAAGTCAAAATGGGTCTCATCTTCCACTTCCCCAGGATCATGAAAGAATGCATCAGACTCTCCCATAACTGGTAGCTTGTCCCAGTTTTTCAAAGGCTTCCCTCTTGTCAGGCAGGCAATGATATTGAAAACAGACAGTGCAGCTAATACTCCAAAATAATGCATTTCTTATGTATTTACTTTATGATGGAGAGACAAGAGGACTAAGTATTTTAACTGATTAAAAATGTTGAATCTTTACAGACAGAGGAAAGGAGGTGGAAGGCAAACAGATGGAATGCCCTTTGCAAATCACTTTCTTGTGTTCTTTTCACAGTCTGCTTGCTTCAAACCCCAGCCTCTTGTCAGTTGTCAAGCAGATTGGTTGTACACTTGCCCTTATCTGAGTCATTGATGCCATGCTTCAGCTTCCGTTATCTAGCAAAGCTCTTAGTTAATGAAGATTCTATAAACATCTGACAAACACACATGGCTGGTGGGAAGGACATTGTATATTGTAAAGAATCCACATTTCACTTTAGGGTCATCGTTGCTTAATTATACTCTTTTAGCATTTCCTTGCCAACTCAGACAGAAGCTTTTTTAGGGACGTGGAAGATAACACGGTTTTCATCATGACTAGAAAACAGAAATCTAGAGTGAAATTATTCTATTGGCTATTAGTAAATAACATCTCACAAATCCCTGCCATGTTCCATTAATATGCCATCAGAAAATCTACAGTAATTTGATGGAGACCCGTGATTCTGCAAGACATGATCTCATGACAGTACAAACAACCTTAAAACTTCTTTCCGTTTATCAGCCAAGAGCTATTATTTGTACACACTATAATATCTGTTTTGTGTCAAGTGCGCTTCATGCTGTTCGCAGGCTTGTTCTTTTTCAGTCTGATTCTTTTGTAGAATTGTAGTTTTTTGTAGTCTTGTTTTTATACTATCTTACATAATATATTTCTTAGATTATTGATGGTCAATACAATCCAAGAACAACAAGAGCAACCAGTGACCTTAGAATGGAAACAGAACCAACCCTTCCGAGGCTACATGAAAAGTAAGAGTCTGACACTGTTATCCATGAGAAGAGTGGGAGAAAAGTCTGATGGCATAATTTCTTATGATACAGAAGAAAATAAAGTGTATATTTACAGGCAAATATATCACTTGTTATTTATCTTAATTAACCAGTTAAAATTTAATCTAATGATGTGTATATTTTGTCTGTATTGTTAATGTACCATCTGTTTCTAAACACAGTTCTATCCATACTAGATATATGCCACAAATTCTGAGTAGTGTTATGAGCTCTTTAAAGAAAGTCTATTTGACAATATTTCATCCTTTCTGGCCATTCTTTAGTTTGCTAGCAGGGCATGTGGTGTTTTAAGTGAGCTCAGTCTAGGTGGTCATGTATCTGTTCAAGTGACAACTGGGATCCAAGGTTCTGGTTAAATGTGTTCCTACACTTTAAAGTCAGAAAAGATTATTTGGTATAAATTCTATTCTCCTGAATAAGCAAAGTTGTTACATTTTACTCAAGGCTTTTGTATTTATCACTTGTGTGCAAAGTCCAATTTCTTGTATTTGGCTAAGCATAAAATTTCAAGGGTCTCCAGAAAAATGAAGAATTTCTTCATCATCATCTTTTTTTTGTAGCACTTGTTCTAAAAGACTATTACTTATGCTTAAAAATCCTGGTGCTTCATTTATTATTTCATTTTTCCTGGCTTACACCTTTTAGACACCAGTTTTACTCACTTCCCTGTTGGATTCGGAAGCCCCTTAGCACTGGCATTTTCTCTCCATCAAGGTACTTCTTAGTGTAATCAAGTTACTTCTCAGTTTGCTTTCTGATAAAATAAACAGATAGTGCTTTTTAAAGTCATGTTCTAGAGGATATATTCTTAACTGTTTTTGTTTCTCATTTTGTGTCTCTTCCAGAATTTCAGTGTTTTTCTGAAAAGGTGAACACTGGAGCTATACATGGTTTTCTAATGGCAATCTTCCAGTGCCACATGCAGAAAAAAAAATCTTCTTTCCTGTTGGGGTTGTCTGCTCCACAGTGCATCTTTTCATAGCTTTCATTAGCCCTTTTTACATAGCATCATCCTTGATGCTTATATTACACAGCAGATCCATGATACCCACCAAATACATTTTAAAAGTTACAGTTACCAAGGGTGCAGTCTTCTATTCTGTAGGAACAGCCTCTGTTCCTTGTGCCTAGATAGAATATTCTGCATCTGCCTACCTTAAATTGAGTCCTGATTGCACGGCTAGATCAAGCAGTCTATATAAATACCAATCTCCTGTACACTCTTGTGCAAATATTGTGGAAGCTGTTATACATAAAAGACTTCCAGTTCATATATAAAGATGTTACATATCGTCAGGCCAAGTGTCATCTTTGCAGAAACTTAACAATGAACAGTTTCGTTTAGTGACAACTCCATTTGTAAGCTGCTTTTTGAAGTTTGGCAGTGAGACAGTTGTTAATTCGTGTGATGCGTAAGTACATTAACATTGTCCAGTAGTTTCCGTTAATTATACTGCCTTGTGAAAATGAATTGAAAGAGTTTACAGAAACCTAAGTACATTCTAATTATTGCTTTTACCTCTGGCAATTAAACTGTGATCTCAAAGACTTAAATGGAATGTTGTAGCTTAAAATGTCCTTTAAACTTTGCTGACTATTATCAGCTGATTTCCTGGTTTATCTGTCTGTAATCATCCGCTGATCATCATCCTCATTTTTTGGAGGATTAGTGAGATTATCTTGCAGTTTATTTTACGTGTTTGTCAATAGTAACTTTTTCTAGAAATGTAAACACTAAGGAAGGGTATACAGCATAGACATGGAAGTCAAAGAACTGTTAGAAGATTCAAGATGGTGTGGATATCAGCTGACAGTATTTGTTCTATTTTTAAAATAATTTATATGTATTAAATGCAAAAGAAGAATAGACATTCAGAGACCCAGAAAGTAGCCACTTCTAAAAAAAATTTTGGTGAAAGCCTGGTTTGCATTAGAGCATTGACAGATATAGTTAAACCACTAAGATGTCTTGTGACAAAATGAGTTTCTTCTCTAAGTTACAGTACTCTACCAAATGAAATAAACTTTAATAGTAAGAGAATTTCTTCTTGTGTGTAGTAAGGGAATGTCTTGATAGCTATGTAACTTATGGGTATAATTTTGTTTTGCCCATGCTAAATTACATAGTTATGCCAATCTTTAAATACAGACTAGATCTTTCAGGTTTCTCCAGGTATCCTAAAGAGATAGGAATAGCATTTTCCCTTACATCCCATAGACCTTAAAAACAGATCTCTCCTACTTACTTGTATCAGCAGATCTTGGGTAGTGAATATGTACCCAAAGACTAGTTCAAGATACAGAATGGATTCCTTAGGAAAAACAAATGCAATAGACCAGAACATAAATACATTATGCTAATATATCATTCTCTTCAGAGCTGTTGCTAAATGGAATAAAGATTACCTACAGGAAAAAAAAAAAAAAAAAAAAAAAAAAAAAGTCATGTAGAACAGAAATAGCAATGACTTAAGATGCTTTGGGGAATTTTATGTTAACTGCTGTTCTTTAGGAATAAGTACTTAATTTCTGATAATTTTTCTTTTTTTTTTTTTCCCCCTATATTTTACCATCACTGCCAACATTAGTTGAGTGCCTCTTGATTTACGAAAAAACAAGACCCTTCATTTTTAAGGGATATCTTTAATAGCAACAGTACACAAATGTTTGTCTTAGTAATTCCTGTGTAAATCCCTGTACTGCTTCTGGAGAAGAAGTGCTTATCAAGATCCATGATCTTTTGGCAACTGTAATTAGCAGTCACTACAAGTGTCTTTCAGATATATACTTTAGAGTGTCAGAATGAACAGTGAAGAAATGTTGATAGAGTAACGTTGTAAACACTCTTGTACACACCAAATCTTGCTTTTATGTAGGTTAGTGGGGAGGGACACATTTACACAACTCTATTGCCTGGGAATCTGCACCCCATGAATACAGAATATCTGTAGTAGAAAATACCTTGTGCCTTACAGGATGGAAGCCTTCCAGATACAATTATTCATCAGAGCATAGTAGGTGTTGTATCCTCTCCCTGAACAATATACTTCTAATGCAATAATAGAGAAGAATTCTTTGTGGCTTAATCGTCTTCAAGGAGGAAAGGCTCGGAATCTTGCTCTCTGTGCTACCTCACTTGTTTCAGAAGTTTGTTCTGCTCCTGGTCTGCCTAGATTATTGCATACCAAGTGGGTGAAAATGGAACACATCACCAGTGTGTTCTGGCATGCAGGGGTAGAGAGAAAGAGAACTGACAGGCTCACTAATGGAACATCAGTTGTTAGAGAAGTGTTGCAGTTACGAGGGCTATCATGAATGTATCAACAGAGGATTGTAAGAGAATTAGAGGAAAGCAGAGTTATTTCTGTTAAGACTTTTAATGGAACAGCTGCCAAATATTGTGTCCCATGTTGAAGTTCATTGCTGGAAAAAGAATTTAATGAAAGTTCTGGAAAGACTTCAGAAAAGAGCTATGAGAAATTGTTTTGAGGCTTAGAATAATAAGAAATCAAAGTGCCTATTTAAATCCTAGCCAAAACGTAATTTGACCCTGCTCTGTATACTAAAAATACACAGTGAATATATCTGGGATAATAGACAAAAGGGATCTAATAAAAATAGGTTACAGTAAAATCCAATGGTAAAATACAGTAAAATCAATAAATTCAAGCTACGATTAAGCCACAAAGAACAAAACTTCTGGAACAACTACTAGTCCAGTAGAGATAGTTTATCACTTGAAGTCGTTTAAGCCAAATTTATGCATGTTTTTCAATATTTCCAAGCTTAAAAAACAGAAGCTCCATAATACATGATGCAAAAACTACTGAATGTAACAGAGAAGATTTATAGAATGACAATTCTACTACTTTTTGATACTACTGTTCCTTTAATTTATTAGCTTTTGTTAAAAGCATGTAACAATCTAGAGAATATAATTTACAAAAATATAAATCTTGGTTATTTTTTTTTTTTTAGTATTTCAACATATTAATATATAGTATGTGTTACTCAGAGCACATGTTTATCAACCTAAAATCAGCCAGCAAATAAAAAGTGTGGGGTGTTACATAATGTCTTTTGTAGAACAAATTATATATTAGGAGAGGGTAACCAAAAATATCAGTATTAACATACTGTGTATGTGAAAGCCTATATAGTGCAAGGTTTATTATTGCACTTATTCCAAGTGCAAGGCCTTGCACCTGGGTCATTGCAACCCCTACTGTAAAACCTGGGAGATATAAGTATAGACCTGCTGAAAAGGACCTGGGTATACTAGTGGGTGGCAAGCTGGACCTGAGCCTGCAATGTGCCCCTGCAGCACAGAAAGCCAGCGGTAGCTCAGTGTTTTGCCCAGAGAAAAGAAAGCTCCAGGGATACCTGATAGTGGCCATTCAGTATCTTGAGAGGGCTAGAAGAAAAGAAGGAGACAGCATCTTTAGCAGAGTCTTTTGTAATAGGACAAGGGAAAATGGATTCAAACTAAAAGAGGGGGATGTAGATTGGGTAGAAGGAAGAAGTTTTTTACAACTGGGGTCGTGAGGCACTGGAATGGTTTGCCCAGAGAGGTGGTGGATACTCTGTGCCTGGAGACATTCAAGGGTAGGACTCTGAGCAGTGTGATGGAGCTGTAGGTGTCCCCGTTCATTGCATATATGCATTGCATCATAAAGGTCCAAATGACCTTTAAGGGTCCCTTCCAACTCAAACAATTCCATGATTGTATGATTCTATGACAGTGTAATATATGTGCTTCCTGAAGAAAATATACATATTAAGCCCTTTATTACAGCATGTTTTTCAGTATAAATATGCAGATTATGAGTGTTTTAGGCAAAACATTTTGTGTACAGAAGTGATATTCTAATATAAGGCTGCCTTTGCAAGTTCACTTCCCATCTTCTTAATTAATTGAAGAGATAAAAATAGTAAAAATAGCATATAAAAACATGTTTTAGTCTTTTGATTATGGAAAACTTTACATATAATTTTCTCACTAAATACCAATGTGTCTTGGATAGGTGGGTTAGGAAGGTATTTATAAAAGTATTGAATGCCTGGAAGGTGAATGTACAAGTCATACAAATGATGGTACTAAGGCATATCCTTTCAGATGGGCACATGCTTCATTCTCATCTCTCTACATGCCTTCTGCAGAAGAAGGCTTGCATTCGTTTGTCAACTCAAGAGGATTCATTTCCCATTCACATCTTCCCAGTGCAGTCAGGCAGGATCTGTAGGTGTTGTTGAAGATGTATTTGTATGAACTTATCGGCAGGCACAAGTTTCAACAGACATATTGGGGTATACCTTCAAAACAACGTTTTTGTTCTCATCTAAGAACAAGACACTGAGTGAGCTCATTTTGTCAGGAACACAGCAGGGCTCTGGGATGCCAGGAATGATTCCCACTGCTTTCACGATGCTCTGGATTGTAGCGTGATTTGATGGTCTGACAACCTGGAACAGAAAAGGAAATGGTTATTATTTCGTTTATGAGAAATCTCTTTCCCAAGAGGGCTTGGAAAATGACTACAAGTGTGTTTGTGGGTTTTCTTGTTTGTTTGCTTTTCAAAAAAGAAATACATATGACTGAGTCACAAGGCCACACAGCACAGTCATGCTCTCACATTTCCAGCCTTTTTCTTGCACAGGATGTGTCCAAGTTTGTACGCCTTCTGCTGCCTTCATAAAGAAGAACCAGAGGAGGGCACTGGTGGCACAGGCAGCAGTCAGCTGCCTAGAAAGAGAGCCGTGAACATGACGGTAGCTATTAAATGCTGGAGGCAGGTATGCAGGAGAAAAGGGCTAAGGGGGCCACACTTCTCAGCTCTAAGTTATCTATTTCTTAACCTCTTGTCTGACTGGGAAAATTGGCTACTGTGATTATTTCCAAAATAACTATTTCAGTCTTCCAGTAGTATTTCTCATGTAAATTATGCTGGAATTCGTTACATTTTCCTGGAGCAATTACTGTGGTTTAAAATAAGTGCTCCAGAAGCAGGCGGGAGTTGCTGTAGAATAGATGGACAATCTTGCAGAGATTGTTTTGTTATCAGAGGACCCTTGCAAATGAATACTTTGTACCTGCATTCTGCCTGCTGCTCTCTGTCTTCCTCAGCAGACTCCCCCAACACCCACGCTCCTAGCTAGTCTTGAAGTGGGAGAACAAAAGGCTGAGAGAGCAGGAAAAACATGAAGTGAGATTTCACCACAGCTTTATATCTATATGCTGTTTAGGGTGCTGAACCACCATCTATTGATTTTCTGACACAGTGGAAAATTATTTGAGAAATGCTATTAGCTATAATGGCTCTGAGAATAAAAGAAGGAGAGCTAAGACTTGCATTTTGCTATTAAATAGAATACTATTTATTACTCCTATTTTTTTTTAAATAAAAATTATGTATTTTTAAAGCATGTATTCCAAAGTTACGCTTGGCTCTTGTAGTCCGAGCAATGGAATAGTACTAAACAGTTTTTACCAATTCTGTTGCTTCAGGTACATATAGTCAAGCAGAGGTTTACCAGTGAAGCAGTGACAGGTGTCAACCTTTCTGTGTCACTGCCTCAGCATAGCATGGAATAAATGTTCTCCAAGTACACGATGCAGTACTGAGGCGTGTAACCCATCACTGAGGTTGAAGCTCCAGTGACTCCTGCTCATAGTCATGCTTGAATAATCCCAAAAATGAGTGCAGTAACAGTTGGTCAAATCTTTGTGGTTGTATTTGGCATTTTGCTACAGTTTTAGTAGTTTTCATCAGATTTGGTACAAGTGGCACCTTGGGGACAAAAAAAGAGGAAATTTGCAAATCTCAACATGGAAGCAGATACTTCAAGTGAGAAGAATTAGTCTCATATGCTTTTTTTTTTTTTCTCAGATAACTACAGAGTATATATGAAGCATTATTTTTTATTTTATCATGAAAAGTTATGCAGTGCATGGCTAAATCAAACAAAGTTTTTTTTAAGAATTATTCAATTCTGATACATTTATTTGTAACATCATACCAGAAACTCAGAACAGACCTTAATTTCTATGAATGCTTCTATCTGATCCTTATTTAAAATGACTTCATGTGAACCATTACAAGGGCAGAATGTGAAATCCATTTGTGATTCTTCACTGTTTCAAGACAGCATCCCTGTCAAATGGTCCCAACAGGTGACCAATCCTGAGAAGAGCCTTTCTGTATTTATTGTTCTTTGGCATAATTAGCAGCAGTTTACTCTCTTATGCCACCCTTAATCTTAGGATTTCAAAGCTGTCCACAAACAAGCAGCAGTAAATTAGGCTAGTGTGTGCTACATGAAGTAGAAATAAGCTTCTGCCTACATTGTTCAGCAAATCTGGACAGCAAAACAAATGGAAATAGCCTTTATGTATATAAGCAATTGCAGAGCTCAGAAATTCAAAGAACTGAAGCTCCTAGAATCTAGTTCTTGAAGTAACCTGTATGACAACCCTCCTGAAATGGTCCTGTCTCCTTTATTCCTTCATAGCGCTACTTGTAACAGCCACAGATTTTAATCTGTACTACTGGAACAGTTTGTTTACCCCAAGCAACAAATAGCCACCATAATTGCCTTCCCTGCCAGTTACTGTGTTGTAGAATCCCCACATATGAACATACAGAAGATCCTACTAGGATCTTCTCCAGCCATATAGCCTCTGGTAACTGTGGGGAACAAACAGATGTGAGCCAAGTTCAGTGAGAGCAGCTGTCACCCCTGAAAATAGTTAGAAACAATTCAGCCTGAGTAAATCAGGCTACCAAGATGACAGCACTAATTAGGTTTCTAATGCCTGGAAGCATACATATTATGAGCAACAATGCTTAAAGAGAAAGCTGCCTATTATGGAATATTTGTGCAGAATCTGGCTGCCTGAGTCCTATACCCACAGTGGAGCCAAGCAGCACACCCATCCCACATCCAGCCAGGCTCTAAATTTTCCAGCCCTTCTGGAAATCTGGCCCAAGTGCTCAGTGACCTTGGGTTGAGCTTGACTTTAACCTTTATACCAAAGTGCTGAAGTGGAAAGATGGAAAGTCTGAGTTGAATGCCCAGTAGGGATGGTACTGGGCAAGCATTATGTCTTAAATGCTGGCTACTAATTTTATCCATCGGGCCAGGTTCTGCTCTTTCTTTACCTCTAGGACAATCCTAGCTGAAGGAAATTTTAACCTCAGAAAACAAGACTGTGTTGATGTAGTTGAAAAGTAAATCTGAAATTCTTCAGGCTTCACTCCTTATTCCTGCTTTACGTCCCTTTTAATGTCTGCTTTATCATGAACCTATTGATCAAAGAACACCCTCTGCCACATCTTAATAAGCAGTACTTCTTGGCTTCAATAAAGTTTGTTTTTTCATGTAGAGAGTGGAATTAAAACTGAAAATCATAAATGATGTTTTCACAAGGACATAATTGAGATTATTCTAATTACTATTGATAAGGGAGAAGATATATCCAAATGCTGGTTTCTTAGTGGTAACCATGGCCACTGAATCAGAGGCATGACATGGCAACAGAAGTCAGCAAAGCACTATCAAAACTAATGCAGCATTCCTGTTCTGGCAGCTAAAATGCAGTTTATCTTGATGCTATCATAGAGGTGATGTTGGCAATATGTTTACATATCTGAATGAGACTGAAGTCTCAAGATAGTATTTAGCATATAAACTTTCTTTAAATAAGATGACTGCATGAAAAAGTTACAAGCATGAAGTCCATGGAACTTCATCTCATATTTCAGAGTAAAGAGGTCATGGATAAACACACAAGATGAGCTCCAAGCTGCTGTAGCCTACCTGTTCCTATGAATAAGTTAAAATCTAAGAGTCCTGTTGGGTAAGCTTCAGCATCTTCCTGCTTAAATGATTTGCATTGTCTTCATGAGCTATTCACTTTAAACTTCCTGTGCAAACAAATCTTACCCTTTCCTGTTGGTCAAGCTCAGTTTCTAGCATGTAGATATACATGGCATCAAAACCCATTATCAGAACTGAGAGGCAGAATTAACTTTTCTTGGCACGATGAAGTGTTGCACTTCTAAATGACTGTACTACACAATGCACAGTCAGGGAATAAGAGTTTCAGTGGCAAAGTAGATGAACTTGAGACAAAGCAACTTGTACAAGTGCTGTTTTGTATCAAGAAATGCAGTCAAATTAGATGTGCAGATGTACTAAATAAAAACAATTTTTCAGTGTGATGATTCCAACATCCCACGTATATGATTCTCTCCACAATTTTAAAAGAATACCTTGGAAATAAGTTTTGTTTCTCCATCATCAGCTGACTGCATGGTCTGAGTCTTTATGACTTAGAGCTACACCCGGCCTTTGATGTAGATCTAGAAAGATCGTATGCATGCTTTCCTGACTTGAGACATACGTGCAACAGCAAAGACTATTTCTCCTTCCACAATGTTCATAATAATTTTGTTACTCTGACTCGAGTTGAAGTTTCATTCAAGCATGCAGATATTTCACAGAATCACAAAATCATACTTATAATAATCATACTTACACTGTAGACTTATACAGATATCCTACTTGTCCTTGCTCTGTTGGAAACCATGATTTTAATAAGTTAAAACTGTGAATCTGTCTGTATGCTTTTCCCTTAAAAATACAAAGCTAACAAAAAGTAGACCTCCAAAACAAATCTAACCAAAATCCCCAAATCTGGGTGTTATTTGTTTATTTTTTTTTACACCAAGATGCTAGTATAGCTACAGTAATTCATCTCTAATTAGCACATTGAGAATTAAAATGGTTTTGATTTCCAAGAAAGTCTGTTTTTTATAGCAAGCAATATTTCTAGATGCAGTATTAAATAAGTCAGCAATACAAGCTTATTTCACTGCTCCAACTACAAATGTATCAAATCTTTGGTTCTGTCAGCTTCTTTGTGCCATAGCGTTTTGCTTACAAGAAGCCAGGTGTGTTATTTTATTTCTTTAGTATGTATGAATAATAATTATTACCCATAATCCTAAGCTGTGTTTTGTATTTTGAATGATCTTTCTATACTACAACAGAAAAGTGAGAACTGCATGAGAGCCTCTGCAAGTTTAATTTTTACCAGAACATCCATCAGTTTATGTATACCTGGGTCAGCACTGGCCAGCTACACGAGAATATTCAGTCTGGGTGCATTTCTTCACCCCACCCTGAAATCTGGATTTCTACTGTTCCTGGACTTAAACTGGCCTGCATATTGACTCTTCCTGCAGTCATACTACTGTTTTCAACAGAAGCATACATCAGACACCCTATAGGGCAGATTCTTGTCTCAGAGCTTTGATATCCTTTTCTGGAAAACACTATCAATTACTTATGGACAGTGTCCGCATGCAAAAAAAAAAAAAAAAAAAAAAAAAGGTAGTTAAATGAATAATTGGGCCATTTGTAGGTTGAATTGCATAATAATTACTTTCTGAACATGAATGTTATGCTGTGCTTCAAACCTTTGCCCTTTATCTGAAAGCCCTATAAAGTGCAAAGAATTTCTGCATTGCACAGGATTGCCAAAATTTCTGCTTGTTGCCATAGAGTAAGTAAGCTGGGAGAAGGCCAAATCAGAATTCCACTAGAATTCAAAAACTTCATATTTGCCTCTTTATTAGGAAATTTCACACTGCTTCTCTAGAAGGAATTCAAAACACCGGAGTTAAAGTGTTACAGACAGCCACTTGGCATTCTCTGCTGTATATGGAAAAGAAACCTTTTTTTTTTAGCTCCAGCAGGATTTTCTTAAATTTAAGACTTAAATTAAGGAAGCACTTAAGAATTTTGAGACAAATACCACTTCAATTGGCATTCTTATTTTCAAAGTAACAAGCAGTTTCTTCAGTTAAAAATGTGTCTTTATCCCTCAATTTTTTTCCTAAGGCAGTACCAGTGGAATTCAGAAATACTTTGGTACAGTACCTTGTTTTATTAATTTTAATACTGTGGTGATACCACAGCAAAATAATTTGGTTTAGTGTGTAACCCCAAGGTAAACTTCAGAGATTTTTTATTCTTCATCCGAAATTAAAAATAACTTGGAATCTTTTTGCACTCTGATGAATGGTAGAAACAGAGTAGAAACAGTGCTGCTTAAACTAGTTTGAACAGAGCATCGGAAAGCAGTGAGATGGGTAGAAGTCTAAAGGTAAAATCTAGCTAACAAAGTAGCTGGATAGGCAGAGCAATAGTCTAGTATCTGCAAGCTAACAGCAATGAAAAGGCATGCTACCTTGGGCATTGGAAATTCACATGTCCCTGCACAGTAGTAGGCATCAAATGATTTGGGAGATATGATCCATTCATTCCAGCCAATATCAGCAAAGTCAACTTTCATGTATCTTCTTGAGCAAATCCTAGGCTCATTCCATTGTTTTCGCCTTGCTTTCTTCATTGTTTTCTCATCAAAGTTTAGCACCTGAGACTTTGCAAGCATTTCTGTACTTTCTTGCCCTTTTCTCCTTCGGTCTTTACGAGAGGCTTTTGGCTTCAAGGACTTGTAGGCATTCTCCCATATGTCATGCTTATCGTATTTATTGTTATACTCTACCTCTGGCAATTCATTGTTCTGAATAGAACTAGAAAGGTAAGTATCCCTTCTCACTCGAGTATCAGCAGAGGCATTCGGTGACAGACTTCGATCCCCGTCATTGGAAGGGAATGGGTCATAGCGCTGTAGGGTGACAGCCACACTGTTAGGTTCAGAGATCGCAAGGTCATTGGCATAAACCAGTATGTAAGGCAAATGACTGGTGACCTGTTCAGGGAAGCCTTGGTGTTTCTCCCCAGAATCAAGCTCAGCACAGAGGATAAGCTCTGCAGATCGTTTTGATTCTTTTATGATATGTGAAATGTCCTTGGCATGCCAAGCCCCTCGCCTCTGAAGAAATACAGTGATGTTCCCTTTCAGTTGTCCATAGGCAGAATTCTGGGGGATGCTTCGGAAGATGAGGTTGAGCCGCAGGATGGGAGGCAGGTGTAGGAGGCGGCACGATGAGTTCTTGGATCTCTTACAAAACACTTCCCGGTGCCGAGGATGTTTGTCAGCATAGAAGTGAAAAGTGGCAGCAAGAACCATCTCTGAATCCTGCATGGATGTTAGATTGAAGCAGTACAGGGGCTTCTGCGACAAGAATTCTGCAAGAGAGCAAGGAAACCATTATAAATATCCAAGATAAAAACAACAGCAACAACAACAACAAACAAAACACCGGCAGTCAAACCACTTATCCTTACAAGTGGATGAGTTAACTTCGTTTTTTGCTTACTCTCTTCAAACCAGTTAGTACATTCAGCTTGTTGGAGTCCCTGCAGCTTAAAACTGTGCAAGCAATGTTTGCAGTTATACTTAAACAACTTTTCCTATAGCACATGAGCAGATAACATGCCTAGATAGAGCATTCATTGACATTAATGTTTTGACAGCACCTCCCTTGTTCTCTGTACTTCACTATATGCATAGTGTTCTTGGTAACATACCTGGCCCAAGTGAAACATATGCTGCACGTGGCATAGAAGACGGCCCTTGACAAAAATCCCTTTTTCAGAAATGAAAAGGCATGCTGCTTACTCCCCTATTACAGATCAATAAGATGCATAGGAAAAATATGTAAGACTAGCTTAAGAATATACAGGAAAGTGGTAGCAGAACTGGGATGTGATCCCTGCTTTCCTAAGCTCAGACTGGTAGTAAGAAAGCATTAAAGGACAATAATGGGTAACCACTAAAGTGGTGCTTGCTGTCTTCCAATTCAGATATGTGCTGGCTAGAGCCATCATTTGGGCTAAACCACAGCAAGTTACAGTGTTCACTAATCCCAAGACTGCAAAGATAGCCTGGAAGTAACAGTGGTTCAGTAGGCGATTTCCATCCACACGATCTGTATTTTTTTCCTGATGCAGTGAAATGGAACAGCTTGTACAGATACCCATTTGGTAATGTTTTAACACACGGCAGAGCAGCTGACAGATGCAACACTGCTTGTTTCTGCAGTTCAAGACAGGATTCCTATCAAAAAACTTTTCATCAGTGCTAGTCATATCCAAAAACGCTCAGTCTATTAAAAAACAAGAGTTTAGATTCAAGTCTTTGAAGTATTTTTCTCCTAGCACTACCAGTTCTACAGAAACCTCTCAAGCTTATGCATCTTTGGGATAAAAGTATTTCAAATGCGAGTCTGAGGGCTGCACATGAGGAGGGGATTTGGAATTAGAGCTCAGAAAGGGAATCTAAACTTTTCTAAATTAGTTCTGTATTCCAAAGTGAAACAAATAACAAAAAAAATCAAACTTCTTTGTAGTGAAAAGTCAATCTACGTCTACTGAAAAGCTGGAAAATGCCTGGAAGTGTTTTTTTTATTAGAGACTGAGGAAACCTGCGTTTTGGAGAAAGCATAGTAGTATAATAATAATTCATCATATCATTCATGCTTTTTACCAATATTTCAGCCAAAAATTGTTATGCTTTACAGGTCTACTCTTAGTTGAACGGTACTAGCTATATCTATTATTAAAGTTATTAATATTTTACTGATTGTTTCTACCTTTCTACCACTTCAAGTTCAGAATGCAGGCAAGATGTATTGAGGGTGTATGCAGAGATGGGTAGAGAAAAAACAGGGAAGTGGCCAAAGAAAGAAAGTAGCTTTTAGTGGGTAATCCACCTGTTAGGAGAACACTGCATTGCAGTAAGTGAAGATTAGCAGTGCAGACTGACTGATAACAAGTATGAAAAACAATATGCAACAAGCCTAATTTAAAATGCTTTTAAGCTATGAAATTACTTTAAAGCAATTGTAAATCTCTAGAGGCCAGAATTACAGTTTTGTGAGAAATCTTTATTTGCTTTTCTTGCACAGACGCACAAAACAGTCTTAATTAAATTGCTGCTATTTTCTAGTCTTCACCAAAGCCTGTGCTTTATTTAGTACAGAAGATGGATGGCATTCAGGGAATGAGACTGAGCTTTAAGAAGCAATTTACAGGAGGGTTTCATGGCTTAGGCAGCTGCTTGCTGCCATGAAGACCAATTCTTTTGTCTCAGCAACCTAGATGAAGTTTGACAACAACTTCATATCTCACATTTGGTAAGAAACTATATTCCAAAGCCACTTATGACTTGACGCTAACTTTGGTCAATTTGTGTTGTTTTCTAAAGCTACAAAGTTCTCTGAAAACTGGAAAGCATCTAAAGAGAAAATGTCTATAGACTAGTTTGTCCTGAACTAAAACAAAGCTTGAACTATAAACTAAGTGCTTATCTCTCAGCTCGTTATCAGAGAAGCAATCAACTCTTGAGAATACACATGGAGGTGAGTTGAGAAGTGGTGATGAAATGTCTGTGAAAAACTCCTAAAGCACTAGACAATTCTAAATACTGCCAGAGAAACAACATTATATTTGGAACAGGTGCATAATTCATACGCTATACAGCAATTACCTCACACTGAGTATGGACTACTATTACATCATAACCCAGTCAAAACAATCCATACCCTTTAAGGGATGTATGCTTTCTGAGGGCTGAATAGCAGTACAACTCTGTAGCTGAGAAGACCTCAGTGAATGCATATGATGATGGAACAAACTAAGTCTGGACTGACACGTTGTAACTGTGGTCCACTTTATCACAGATGCTAGAGTGTGCAACAGCAAGGAGCTTTAAGCTGCAGCATAGAAATAAAGGCTTACAGGTTTTCTGAAGGAGACTTTAATTTTTTTAAGCCCATTCCTTGGAACAACAAAGAAAAAGTCATTGTAGGTAGAATCTGTTTTGCTTATCTAGATAAGATGTGTCATTTATATTTCATTAAGATGAGATACTCCCCATCTTGTTAGATGATCATAATGATTTATTCTCTAAGAAGAACACCAGAATTTCTTGGAGGATGTAGAGGGAAAAAGAAACCATACTGATTGACAAGTTTTCCCCCTCCCTTTATCTTGTGTCATTCTGCGGTTCATTTCAGACCATTTATCACTAGTCCAATGAATTAAAAAGAAATAACATCTCTTTTTTTTTTTTTTTTTTTTTTTTTTTTTTTTTTTTGTCAAGGAGCTTCTGCTTTCATGTTGCACATATTACTGGGGAGAGACAGAACCCAGTAGAGAAGGTATACAGGTGGAATACAGGAGAAATGAGTGTGGACACAGGCATGCTTTATCCCTGCTGCATGACTCTATGCAAGTTACTCTGCAAGAATCTGTCATGATCTGATAGATGAGCAAAATGCTGACATGCAGTTGTTCAGTGCTACCTGTATGGGTAGGAAATGCTATTTTGATGTTTTGAAACTGAATGTAGCCATGTGGATGTAAGTTACCTGAGGGAGAGGAAAAAAAAGAAGAAAAAGTATTCCCTATTGTATTCCTACTAAATCACTGTTAGTGGTATGGGGCCTTGCTTGGATAGCAGCAAGTATAACTTGAGTATCAATTTGCCAGGAAAAGTACAAGTAGAAAGAGGAGGTAACGAAATAACCATCCACAGTGAATGCTCCTTCTTAACCCCTATTAGTTAGCAGCTGGCTAATGATGTAAAGCATGAAGGTTTATTTCCCTCCCAAATGACTGCAGATACTGTACATCTTTACTCCTAGTTTCTTTACATTGTCGTTAGCCACATTATCTTCCATGGGATCCTCTCCTCCTAAAATGGACAGGATGACTTTTTAATATTACATCTGACATTGGATAAAAATTTAATTGATATGCACTATAGAGTATGAATTACTGTACAGTAGTCAGGTAACCACTCGCTAATGTCACCTATTATTTGTGTCTATGAAAACAATTCTTCTGTAAGTGTAACAAGTGACATTCTGCAAACCAACCTCATTCTCTAAGAACCAACATTCTAGAAACGATCTCTAATAAGAGTCAACCAAAGGAAGACATTTTCCAGACAGGGTTATTTTAAGTTTCCTTGTCAACAGATAACAAATGGGAAGAACACTAAGTAAAGAACTTATTTCGAGGGAAGAAGCTTTAACAGTATGTGTGCTGTTGCACCTCCATAGGCCAGTCTCCAGCTAAGTAAAGAAGGAGGTAAAGTATCTGCCTCAGGTTCAGGCAGTGCAAGAGCCCGAGGTGCTGAGCAGTTTGAGACGGTCCCGTAGGCGGCACTCCTAGAAAACCTCGAGCCGCGCCTGCAGCTGGAGGGGAGGACCTGCGGCTGCAGCAGTCGCAGCTCAGGACGACTCAGGAAAGGTCTGGGAACGGCGCTCCGTTCGCTGACTCTTCGCATCACCCCCAGCGGAGACTTTCTAGAGGCTGACCGCTTCGGGGCAGATACTGTCGGTGAACAGTACTGTCGGCAGCGGTGAGAAACCACCCGCGGAGCAGAGGAGAGGCACCGCATCCGCATATTAGACAGGGTCTCCCGGCGTTCCCCTGGCTGCGCAGACCCCCGGGGGCGGGACACCCCGCAGTCACTGACAGCTTCGGGGAGAGCCCTGAGCTTCAGGGCGAAGGAGCAGCGAGCCGGCGGCGGCCCCCCCACCTTCCTACCCCACGCCCCCTTACCTGGCCTGCCTTTGAAGCTGCGGACCGTGTTACCGTGGCCGGGCCGGCTCCCCTCCCGGTTGTACTTCTCGTAGAGCTTAAGCATGTGGACAGCTACCATGTCCTGAGCGATGCTACTCAGCGCCAGGGGCTGCGGGGCGCCCCCGCGGGGCTCCGGGCCGGGCGAGTCCCGGGCGGGCGGCGGCTCGGCGGTGCAGCCGGGCTGGTTGCCCGCGCCCTGCCCCGCAGAACAGCGGCAGCCCGCGGGCCGCAGGGCCCAGAGCAGGAGGCAACAGGCCAGGCGGGCGGCCATCGGGCGCTGCTGCTACGGGCGGCCGGGTGTGGAGCGGAGCGGCGGCGGTTCGGGCGCTGCTTGCGGCTCGCTCTGTCCCGCACGGCTCCGCCGCACGGGGACGAGGGGGTGGTGGGGGTGGCCTCCCCCCGCTGCTGATGCCGTCTCCGCCGGGCCAATCCCCGCGCCCGCGGGGCGAGGAGCTGGGGGTGGCGGGGCAGGGCGAAGGGCTGTGAGGGGTGCGGGTACCCGCGTAGGGGACGCCGCGTCGCTTCCGAGCGGGGCTTCCCCGATCTTTTAAGCGTAGTGGGGAAAGGCTCTAACGGAATCAGCCCTCAGCCGCTGATTGGAGACGCATGTCCTCGCCGCGGCAGCGAGCAGGCACCTTGGCTGCCTGAGGCAGCGGGGTGGGGGCAAGGGAGAGGCGAGAAATCCCCGCTAAAAGGCAGAAGCGAGCACAGAACGGGCGATGCCAACGGAGCGAAGGGCGGGTGGACGGGGGTGGTGTGAGGAGCGGGGGCATGCACGTATGCAGGAGGAGGTGCGGGGGATTTCTCCGTTCGGACCGGCGGAGCTGAAGGCTCTGCCGTGAAAAGGGAGCGCCGCAAATAGCGGTCGTTTCCAGCAGTCCGGGGAGCAGTGAGGTCCCGCCGGGTCGGCGCTCTGGAAGACCCCGTGTGAAGCAGCCAAGAATGCAGCAAGGGTCACTGATAATTCCGAGGAGATACTTAAATAGTAGGGGTTAAAGGGGATGTGCACGGGTAAACTTTCGTCATTGGGCTATTTCCATGTGTAATCTGAAGGAGGAGAATACCAGGGTGAATTTCTGAAGGATTTACATGGCTTAGGTCGGAGGGCGTTGATTTGAAAGTGAATGGTGCGTGTTGCACTTATCCATCATGTGACACAGGTAGTTCTGAATCCTAGCTTGTAGTCACCCAGTGGGCAGAAGATCTGTTATAGTGAACAGCAGTTTTAAGGCAATGTATAATGGACACCAGTGTATTTTTAGAGAATTTGTTCATTCTGCCTCTCTTTTCAAATCTTATCCTCCAGTAGCCAAGACAGTTACTTTTCTTGGAGAGTATACAATGCAATAATTGAAAAATCGTTGGAAAAAGCTACTATTGCTGTGTATAACACAACTCTTTTGTGATGTTTTAACCTTGGAGTTTCAAATCTGAGCAGATACTATTGAAAGGCTCTGAACCGCAAGTTTGTAGTTTTTGGATCATTGCAAAGAAAGGTTTGATTCATTTTTAAAATTAGCACCAGGCCACATTACTCTGTGCCCCTTCAGTGTCTGAAATGAACAATTTGCAAATACAAATTTGTCCAAATGTAACTTACTAAAGTATCAAACCTCCTATTAATTAATCTTTGCTTATAAATAAGCCAAAGCAGCCTTTGATGGATTTTTTTTTTTTTTAATTTCTCCATGGTAGCATGCTCATGACCTCCACTGGGGGTGTGAGCGAACCTTTTGTTGTTTGTGGTTTTTGTCTGTACTATTTCTATACAATCAAGGTCCTGTGAAAAGGAGGAAGAGGCAGCAGGAGGTAGGAACAAGCTGGGCTATTTTGGACCAATGTCCCATTAAACGTTCTCTCTCTCCTCAACTCACTCCAAACTCCTATTCAGGCATACACTTTGTATCAGTCTTTAACCTGCACTAAAACCTGTAGGACACTGATACTTTGACACCGTTGGGAAAGAATTAAAGAATCAACCAGGGATGTCTAATATTTCTTGCCTTATTTTATTGCAGAACAGCAGGAATTCTGAGTCTTTAAAGCTCTGGTACTTTGACTCTTTTATGCAGCTGAGATGATGAAATAAAAATGTGTTTGGTAAAGGAATTCAAATTAGCACTGGGTCACATAATTCCCCTGTTCTGAATATGGTCAATCAATGGCATCTCTAAGGCATCTAGAGGCAAGAGCTATGCAATTTCTGCTCATGCAGAATAATATTCCTAGCGTGGAAATTTCTGCTAATTAAAGCTCTTGCCAAGTAGAGTCTCTTTTTTTCTTCTTTTTCTTAAATAGCTCAAGTCAAAGCTTTGCAAGCCAGGACTTGGAGAAAGTCTCTCTATAGTTAGAGCAATGCATTCAAGATTTTAAACTGTGGATTTAAGCTTCCTGCTAAAATCATCATGATATAAGTAGTGTTACATATCATTAATAACAGCTTTTTTATTTTTTATATTTTATGAGATTTCTTGTGGAATTAAACACATCTGTACAAAGGAACTATTGTGATCCATGCCTCTTTTGTCATACAACGTAGATGTGGAAAATACATAGGGAAAATGTAGGAGGGGATATGCAGCATCAGGAAGGGAGTCTTTTTGTTCTATGACAAAATAATTTATTAACTCACTTCAGAGTTAGAACTCTAAAATCTATATTAAAATAATTTTGCTTGACTCTTTTAGTAGTAAAGTTTGTAGCAGGAATAGTGAAGGTTAGAACTCCAGGGAAGTTGATGAAACATAAATTATTTCTAAATTTGGGCTTCAGTCCAATTTTCTGTCTGCTACTTATTGTAGGACAGCTCATTCATTTTTCACTCATAAAAATATTGTGCTATGTGTAATGCTACACCGTTAGGTAGGACCATACTGTACCATTCCTTAAGTATATAATATATTAATTAGAAATTAACCGGATAAAATGCAGTGGGCTGCAGGTTCTCATAGAAATTGATGGCAGAACTCTAAAACCCTTTTCACATTCCATCCAAAATCACATGGTGTGACAAGAATGATATATGGTCAGTAAAAAAAATGCTGTTGTATGTTCAATTTCTTTTTCTAACAGTACTGAAATTATCTTCATACCTCAGAAAATAAACAAAGCAGCATCAGTACTTTTTAGGTGTTGGAGCAAGTTGGATGATCAGAGTCATACAGGGCCCCTAAGGCTCATAATGTTGAGAGAAGACTTGGGGCATATAATGCAGTGCCTGCTGTTGATACAGAAAGCTTTGCCTCTCAAATAACAGCCATCTCAGTCCATTCCATCACTCAAGAACAAGTTTCCACCTTTGATTTCTGTTTATGGATCCACATTCTCTTCTTTTGGTCTCTGATAAGCACAATCTTTCTTCCTGCCAGGCTTCCCATCCTTCCTCTTAGTGACAGAAGTTTATTCTGTCCATCATGCTAAGAGGAAAGAATTGCCTATATTCCTATGCTATCACACTGTCTATGATGTATAATTACAAAAAAAGTAAGAAATTAGGAACCAAGATGCACAGACTCAGTTCCCATTATCTTCTGGCACTCTTTGCTGCTAGAATGTTTCAGTGCAGGTTATCAGGATAGGCTTTAGCATGAAATAGAAGAAAATACACTGTGCCTTTATCTGTGAAATTGTTCTGATTGTCTTTACATCAGATATGTGATGGATAGACAAATGCAAGTGTGAAATGTATTGACTCCAGACAAGGCAGTAGTTCATACCTAAGGATTGTTTGCTTTGTGTGGTTTTTGAGTGCTTTCACAAATACTGGGTGTTCATATATACAACAAACAAGATGAATGAATATAAACAGCTATAAAGATCAGCTCCATAGTTAGTTTTATCAGATTTTGAGTGCACTGGTAGACCTTGATTGCCTTGAGCAGTCTCACCTGGGCTACCAGTCACATGGTCAGGAGCACTATTTAAGCCCAGACCTCAGGGTTATGTTCTCATTTGTGTGTTGATTCAAGAGCTTCTATTTCTGGTATTGCTCATGAGCTGCTCTTTGGATTTTCTGGATGGACCTTGAAGTTGATGTGTTGCTTTGTTCATTCTTGACTATCTGTAGGACCCGTGGCTGTTGCTGCCCTGCTGTGCCTTCCCAGCTCAGGTACTGTTGGGCTGTGTTTGGAGTGGGGGATTATTGCCTGGGCTGTGCTGGGCCTTCTCTACAATGGCCTTTTCATGGGGAGTGTGAGGCTTTCCCTATTCTTTGATAAATTAATCTGCGTTCATTAACTAATACATATGCTGTCTTTACTTATGTACCAGGCAATCTGCAGGCCTTATAAATGGAGAGAAACCTAACAAAAGCCCTATATCAGGGAGCTTACTCTTAATCATAAGTAGTAACGTTGTTGTAGGCTGTTGTTCTAATGTTTACATTGCTGGCACTGCATCTGAGTAATCAAGTTACGATGCCTTTGTAGTCAGTGGGGGAGAAACTGAGACTGACTTATAGTTGGTAGCACTGTGTAATATGTGTTCAAAGGTATACTTATGTCTATGTGCTTAGCCTGTCTATAGCTTTTAACTGATTACAAAAGCAATCTAGCTAAGATGTGTGGGCTGGCTGTGTGAGGTGGAGAACACCTTTCATTTTTTTTCATAGTTTTCCTGGAATACGATGGCACTTGATGTTATCCAGCCTCAGATTAACATTTTGTAAGTTTAATGATAGTATCTCTTTATGTAATTTGTAAGTAACAGGTATTGGCATTCTGATGTGTTATTTCCATGAGTAATGAAAGTATCAGAACTGTTTCTTTTCTGGTTTTATTTCACTGCAAGTTCAGGATATGTTCATTCATACTTGGAAGATATCATAAAATGCTATACTTATTGAGGTTTGTCCGGTTGGAGTCCTAGTCTTTTGTTTCTGCCTTGTGGTCCAGTCTTTATGCTTTTGATAAGGATAGCCTAGACTAGTAGCAGACAAGCTAATTTTGTTGGTAACCACAGCTGCCAGGATCTGCTGGAAGACTTCCTCCAGGTGTATGTTACTAAATGCAATCCCTCCATCTTGGTAGTTTAACTTAGCAGAGTTGCCAGCCAGCTGATATGAGCTAAACTAGGAACTGACCTGAAATAAAGATAATGACATATTTTAGAGCAAGCAATTTAAACTTTACGGTGACCCATGAATCACCACAAACGCTTCTGTAGGGAGAAAAAGAGTATATATGTATGTTAATTGCTGAGTCATGGCCTGAACTGCTGATTGAGCACCTGGGGAAAGGACCCGGTCAGCCCTGGGAGCACAGGTGAAGGCAATTCAGCTGTGTGACCAGAAGGGGTGGAGCCTGGCTGCACCTCTCTTAGACCTCATTTAAGGTCTGACTGGAACTGGGGAAGGGTCTCTGGCTGGAGATCCTCCCTTGTGATGCTTGTGAGCTTACATCTTCAGAGTTGGGTGAGCACTTCTCCTTTTAACACTTTCCATTCATGCTAGTCCCTTTGCTATTACATCTCCTGTATTGCTGTTCCACAGCACTGATCTTTCTGATTGTTACAGTATATCTCTTTCCATTAAGAAATGGAAGCAAAGTTTCCCAGTGGAAATTGCAGTGGTAACTCATGCAAGCTGAAAACCAGGTTGTCTTGAAACTCTCTTGTACTGAAGTAGTTCCTGTCTCTGGAGACATCTCTTTATTGTGAAAGGATGTATTGCAAGTGCCTGGTTGCTGTGCTTCCTGGGGTATGTACTGTCTTCTCCGGGTTGGGAAGTTACAG